AATAAGCGAATGATCAAGTTGTAAACTTGCAGTGACTTCCAATTTTTACAACATCAATAATTTATGACATATGAGAATACATTTGATCGAAAAGGTTTTGTGCAAATACTCATATGTCAATATTTTTCTCATCTCAAAAAGAACAACACGCGTGTGAGAATAAAATCAATCTCTTGACTCGCGAAAAAAAAACTGTTCATATCAATTTTGTTGTTTTCATTTTTAGTACAAACATAATCTTTTATGGGCTTTTAAGCTTTCTTTATTTTTATATTATATTTTATGGGATTATTGATACACATATAAGAAAGATTTGGCATTGAATTATCATCGATAAATAACTTTTTTTCTTCTCAGACCTTTCTCAACATGGAAATAAAACATACAGCGTAGTGAGACTTACATCATGTGGAATAGCATGAAAAAATATAAAATTATGTCAAGAAGAACAATAAAATGTAAAGAAAAATAACGCAAACGATCCTTATCTACACAACGATTAAATTAGTTCCATATTGGATCAATTTATAAATCATAAGAGCTGAACAATTTGTTTGGTCAATTCGTTTAATTCCACCCTTGTTTTTAAATTTTGATCAAGAACACCTCTGCTTAAATGCGCCACAATCTTAAGACTTAATGTTCACATAAAAAATTCCTTCAGCAAAAATTTATCAAGATCAAAATCCACACCTTCACGAATGTCCATTCAATTTAAATTTTAAAAAACTCATTCGATTGTCATGGCAATCAGTTTTCGTTGGCAGTAAATGCGAACAAATGAAAATGATTGCAAAAATTTTATTATCATGTTTAAGTAATTCGAATTTCATTGTGAACCGACATATCGAATGATTGGAACGAAATGAGCTGTATGCTTCGCAGTGAATTAATTCTTGGAATTTTTTAAGTGCCTTTCTTTTTATATTCTTTCAAAAATTAAATCTTTTTATATTCAATTTCCATTATCAAAGATGAAAAATTTCAATTTTCTGTGGTGATCAATCAATTTATTGTGTGCCTGCGTATCTCGATCTTTTTTTTATAAAACGTAGGAGTGGAAAGTAATGCGGTTTTCGGAATTAAAATATTGATCGACGGAATTTAATTTAATATATCTACGGTATTTATTATGGATGAGAAAATGACAATCATAATAATAAGATTCACCTGCTTCAGGTATTAATTTCCGACAGACTTATGGGTTTTTGGGAATATCCATATTTTTCATCCCAGATTCAAGCCAGATTCTCATATAACATAATGAATTACGTTCTAAGTTTTAAGCCTTTAAATAAATAAGAATCATGAGGTTTCTACCTTATTTTTGCAATATGGCAAGCAAAGAACAGATTTATGCTAATTTATTTATTACGGGTGACATGACTTGAAGGTTTCCTTTTTATGAATTTCTTCCGACAACCGCATTCGATTCTCTTTTTTAAATTGATTTAAAGACACAATGAACAATTTATCTTTTGTCGTTTGGCTCCTTTTCATTTGTCATCGTTACAAGCAATTTTTTTTTTGACGGAAAGAAAATGAAGTCATCAACTCAATTTATTTGAAATGATTGAAATCTTGGAATAGATATAAAAAGTTGTCTTTTTTTCGTCATCATAGAGAAAAGTGAACCTCTGGGATTGGAAACGTTATTCGTCTACCAATGTTGAAGTGCTTTTAAACTTAATAATATTCTCACTTGAATAACTTTTTTCAAATTGGTTTGTTGAGAAAATTTCTGAGACTGAACAGAAGTGATAGACCTTTGCTTGTACCTAAACAGTCACATTTTGAAAAGAGAATAAAATCATATAAACTTAAAAAAAAATCTGGATATGAAATACTGACAGAATTCAGTTAATGCACTTGAAAAATCTTCATTTAAAGGCACTCGTATCGATGAAGCATAAATTTACACATTTTTTTTTATCGCATGTCATTGCCATTTCACATTAAAATGATGAAATATCTTCAATTCCCCTCAGGAGATAACGTAAACAGAGAGACATGACAAGTTATGATGACTGATGATTTCAAGACAGTTTTCCTTAAATTGAATCATCTTTATGTCTACTCAGTCAGTGATAAAAAAAAATTGAAACCACGACAAGAAGCAAAAGGACATAAAAATGCATGAAAAAATTTCCCATCATATTCGCTTGCATAAATTTCAGGAATTGTGATGCGTTAGATTGAAAAATTTGACATAACATGACCATAAATTGTAAATTTATTCGTACCCTTCCAATCTCATGACTATTTTTGTTCAGAGGAGACTATTTTTGTTCGGAGGATAGACAGGATGTTGTAAGATTACATTGTTGATAGCCCTTAAGTATGGAATGGCAATCCTTTCGATATTGCCGAGTAGCTTGGTATGAAACTAAACTAAATTTTTGCTTAATAAGTTAACAACCCCCAGAACTCAAAGCTTTTTTTCCTCAAAAAGCATTTCAAAACCTCCTGAATGAGTTGATCTACAACTTCCGAAATATTTCAAGATGTATTCTTTTATTTACATCAGCAGCCTATTACACTTCCTACAAATGTTTATCATTACAGTACAGTATCTAATAAATTTCCACATTATTTCCTCATACAAGATGAAATTGAAATACCAAAGAGATTTATGACTATCAAGGAAGGAAGAATGTTTAATAAACAAAGAAACTTGCTGATTGTTTTTGTAAGAAAAATGCGAAGTTTCCTTTCAAATACGCCGGCAAATGATTATGAATTCTTCTGAGTAAAATCAATAAAATTTAATTAGCAACAACAATTCATGCTAATGAACTTCTTTGGATGTAATCAATATTGAATGAGTTGTGTATCGAATTTGAATTTATGGTATTTTAGTCTGCTTTGTTTCATCTGAATTGACCTTGATTTTTAGGACTAATTCAAGCTTTCAGAAAGTTTCGTGTTCTGCAACTCTTAATATCCAAGAACTTCACATCCATCAATAAAATGCAAATTACTCAACCATATTGTTATGCATAATAATTTAAAATTGTTAAGCGTCAGCACTTAATCTTTTAAATTCACTCTTAAGTCAAGTGCTATTTACACAAACATTTTCATGTTGAGATATGCCCATAGCAATGAATTGATCATTTAACATGATGTTCCCTTTTTGTCTTATCTCATTTTACATGCGATAGAGCCAGACGCTTCATGAAAATTTTGTACGCTTGTCATTTTCCTTTTTTTAAGCTTTACAAGAAAGAGTAGTGTGAGTGTTGAAGGAACCACAACACAAACTTTGTGGTGTTATTAATTTTGGTCTCATGTTTAAGCTTTTAGAAAAATGATGATTTTGGTATTAAATTTGAGAACTTTAAGTGCACAAAACGTTTTTAATGAAAGTGAATGGATGTACTAATTAATTTTGATATTATTTGTCATAAGACACACCAATAAAGTAGTTGCCAATCAATCAGTGTTTAAGCTGATTAATTCGATATAATTTAATTTTCCAGTCGATAAAAACGTAAGAAAATTGAAAAAAATAAATCATTAATTTTTTCATCATGTGAAGCGAATGCATTTAATTAATCGCAGACATTTCAACTTGTTGGTATGTCCTTGGGAGATTTCTTTTTTTATTCTCGATTGAATCTAGTCGCTTCCATATAATTGACTAGTCAATCAGTGTACAAATTGGTAAGTGGAAAACAAGTTTATTTAAAATTATAATGAACTCCTGCTTTTTCCATAAACTGATAAGGCACAGAATGACAAATATGACTTTATAATTCTCGACAAGTACAAATTATGCGCAGGAATTCTCAGAAACAATTCGCTGATAAGCATTCTTGTCGTGATGTTCATTTCGAATTTTATGCATAAGTTCTGCATCACCTTTTTTCTACTTCCAGTGATCATCAAGCAATATAACCATATGTAGAATGAACATAAAAATGTTGAGGAGTTTTGTTTTTATTTGCAATAAAAATAACGTGGATGCAATTCGTAATCAACTTGTACTTCTTACTTTTTTCTCGTCTCGAGGAACTGCAAAAATGATTACAATCTTAATTTTTTACTTTTTCAATAAATTTAACATTCCACATTAATAAATCAACGTAAATAAATGACTAAGACGCATTTTCTCACGCAAATTATATTGGAAAAATGTTGCAATTGCTCATTATTATTTTCTTAACTCAAAACTTTTGAAGGAACTTCTAACTATAAGATAGATCAAGTTAATCAAAGTTGTTCAGTCCATAACAATCGAAAAGCTAGCGAAAAAGTCATAAAAGAGTGACCACAGCATCAAAAGAAAGAATTGTGGGAAAAGGGACAGAAAGAAGTATTGATTGAGCACTGAACTTGTCTCTTTTAATAAATTTCAAGCTTAATTTCTTTACTAAAGCTTTGGATGCGTTCTTAACTTTAATAGCATGTCGGTTTGTAAAAGGAGAAAAAATGTTTCAAATTGTCTTTAACCCGAGCAGTAACTGAAAGCTTTTTCAAGCTGTTTAAAAAATTAAAAGATATTGATTTTAAACTTCAGCCAAAATAGCTGGTGGACGAGAGGAGCATCACAAATAAACTTGCAAAAAAGCTTCAACAATTAATCGTCAAAAAATTAATCAACAGAATGAATAATAATTCAATTTGTGCGTCCAGCTGGGATTAAAAGCTCATTAATACGATGTTGTTAGGTCTTAATCATAAATTCGTAAATATAATACCTTTCATTACTCCATGAAAGTTCAGAAGCGTAAAAATAGTTTTTAATTTATTTTTTTTCCTATCTCATTTTTACAATTTTTGATTTTATGAATTTTGACATTTTGTTTGTACTCTTCGTCTAATCGCATCTATGGGCATTACTATAAAAAAAATCTCTATGTTCGATCGAATTCCATTATAAATACATTCATATGAGCTATAATGTTTAATTTAATAATCTACAATTTGACTTGACATATTGATTACTGCTTCTCAACATTTTGTGTCATAATTAACTGACAAAAGGAGGCACTTACCGAGACAGTCAACTTCATCAGCTTGAAAACGAATGACGGCAGGTAGGAGGAAGAAAATTGCGGATAGTTGTAATCCATGCGTAAATGTATTAACAATTAATCCAACAAACATAACTATCCAACCAAATCCAGCCTCGGGATAATAGCGTCGACAGATGAGGCGACGTGCAGCCATGAGTTGTTGAAATGTCGGTGCATTTTTTCCATTTTTACCATTAGACAGATTATTGCTCCCATTGGAATGCTTCTCATTTGATTCGAGAGGTGTTGTTGTTATAAGAGGCCACGAAAGGGCTCTTATGAGCGATGCCATGTAATATGTTATTATGTCTCGTACTTGTAAACTTTATTAATCCATTTCCATAACGACGCATCCTTTGCACTTTATTGATAGGTAATTAATTTTTATGGATGGCTTTTGTGTTGAAATTTTTTTATTGCCAACACTCTCATTTTTATTTTATTTTTTGAAACATTGTATTAGACACTTTATGCATGAATTGGCGTGAATAACAAACCTGAGTACTTTGTATCTTGTTATTTTATTTTGTTTTCACAAGAAGAAACTTTTTGTTATTTTAATTTTTCAAAGCGGCATTAAAGAAGTAATTAATGAACTGGCTTTTAAATTTGATGGAGTAAATTTATCACATGAAAAAATATTTTCAGTTCTCTTGCTGTTATTTTGCATGTACAATAATTTCTGCTACAGATTTTCAATTAAGTTGCTGCACTTGTGCTTTTAATGACTAAAATGTATCTTGATAAAAATGAACCCAGCTGATTATCTGGGATCCCATATTCATGCATGCACTCAATCAGCTTAATTTTTCTTGATTAAAACTGATAAGAAAGATTTTCGATAGTTTTTGAAATAAATTGTTTTTTGAAAACCTTACAAATCCATTCTTAAATCAATTGTGTGGTTTTAATGTTGAACTCACTTAAAATTTGTATGTTTTAGAAACATTGAAATTAAATTAATTACTTGCTCCATAAATCCAATTGATTTAAATCACCTTCAATAATGTGTCCGATTTAATGATTAACAATAATTTAGATAAAATCACCTCATCATTAAAAGTATGCATGTACATATAATACAAGTGTGAAATTAATTATGCTTTCGGGAGAGTAAGCAAGAGAGCTTTTCTTTTTATTTGATAATCGGATTAAATCAATCTTACACGATATTTAGGTACGCACTTTAAGTCTGTATACTGCTGTATACAATAAATTTTATGGTCTTTTGTGAGACTCATTATTTTTACATTTAATTAGTTTTGACCAAGCATACGACATGTTGATTGATACTTTATCATTTCACAAATTTCACTTTACAAGTGAGGTTTAATTTTTCACGGTCGATATTTTATTGCACAAAAGAAATCCAATGTTATGTTTATTGTTCAAAAAACCTGGATTTTTTTTTAAAAAAATGGTCAAATGACTGTACATCATTCCCCATACTATCCAAAAATGGTCACCGAGCTCGTCATTTCACGATATCATGTGTCATCAATCACATTTTGCGACAAGTATCTTCTTGCTATTTGCAATTTATTATTCTTACTTGATTCAACATTGTCTTACAGCATTTCACTTAATTTATGTGAGAATGGCATTTTACGTTATCTGGATGCATCCATAAGCACTTTTTATCTTTCTCCCTTTTTTGCAAACAATTATTGGTTAATTTTACGTCCAACGCAGTCTAACGATGCAATAATTTTTAATTGTAATTAATTCGTGTGCTATGAATTTTCATTTAATTCCTCACATTTGAATCACCGTCTATCTCAACTTTATTGTCTTATTTTTACCACGATATTATGACTTAGAAAATATTCGCATAAATCAAATCTACTTATTGGCATCACAAGTTACAATAATGAGCTTTTAAGTACCTGATCATTGCCATATTTATTTGAACTGATTCGTAATTGCAAACAAAACACAAAAAGCCCGAGAAAAAAGATAGAGATGTGAAAAGCTGTCTTATCCCGAGAGCGTCTGCTTTGCTTCAAAGATATCAAGAGACTGAAGACAAAAATTTACTTTTCTTCGTTCCTTATTTTTTTGCCCAACGTAGAGCTGTTGGGACTAAGAAGAGGAGAAAAAGTGCTGAATGAAAAATATTATGTACACAAGCTCTTCACGTTTCGATGCCTGGCAATATACTTTGAGATTTTTATTATATTTTCAAAAGAGACATTAATACTTGAGATGAAATTACAATGCCACTGGATGGATGAATGTTTGTACTTAAGATGAATTTGTGTATTTAAGAAAGAATGAATTGTCTATAGGATAAATGAATTGCCTGATAATCGTATTTTAAGAAATAATAATATACTTACACTATGTGCAAGAGATGTTTTTAAAGATTGAGCACGTGACCAACGTGAATTCACCGTTTTTTTTTAAAATTTTTATCAGTTTTCAATAATTTAAATTTCGTCAACTTTTTCAGTTAAGTTTCAAATATTAAATAACCGTTCTCTTTTTATTTCTCTCCAGACCACATTGATGAATAAAAATTTTATATAACTTTTAATTTAATTAAGAAAACTTTTGATCAAAATGTGTGAAAACTATAAAGTAGTAAGCAAGATTGGACAAGGAGGATTTGGGTAATTAATTGATTTCACCAGAATCGTATAGAAAGCATTAAATTTAATATTTTTTCAGAAAAGTGTTTTTGGTTCAAAATTCACGCAAAGAAAATCTGGTAATAGAGTTATTAATTAGAGTAATGAAGTCATTTAATCATGATATTTTAATTTATTCAGGTTATTAAAAGCATCCCATTGAAAGAATTTACTCATTATGTTAACAATGAGTTGGAAATTTTGAAGACTTTGGATCATCCAAGGGTTATTAAATTTATCGAGTTCTTTGCGTCTCAAAAAGACTATAATTTTGTCATGGAATATGCTGAAAATGGAACATTAAGGACACTTATTAATAGGTATCAAGAAAGTCGATGGAGATTGACAAAAAATGATCTAGCCGAAATATTTATGGACATAGCTTATGGCTTGAGATTTCTTCATTCCAAAAACATAATTCATCGAGACGTTAAGCCAGAAAATATTTTAATGACTTTAGATTATAGAGTCAAACTAGCTGATTTTGGAATAAGCAAGATTGTTGGTGACAGCTATGCTCAAGCTCATACATCCATTGGATCTTTAGTTTATATGAGTCCAGAAGTTTATCTACATCTTCCGTATGACAAAAAATGTGATATTTGGGCCCTTGGATTAATATTTTATGAAATGGCAATGATGAAACATCCGTTTAGTAAAAGTGTAAGTAGTTTTTGCATTATTTACTATGTAATACAAATTGATTGAGAAATTTTAAATCTGACAGGAACGAGCTCGCATCTTGAATCCACTCTTGACTTACCAGTGTCCAAAAGTTGATTGGATTGGTCGTAAATATGATCCAAACTATCAACAAGCTTTAGAAATGATGTTGCAACGGGATCCAGAAAAGCGCAAGGATATTAACATTATCTGTGCATTTCCGTTATTTGATAGAATGTTTAGCTTTTTGGAAAATGAATGTGCTTTGTACGAATTGAAAAAGAAGATTGATGCTGCTAGGAATTTGGGACGAAATTGAATTTTATTTGCTCCGTTAAAGAAGCTTAAGCTGTCATATTTGTAATATTTTGAGTAGATCTTCCATTTTTAAAAACAATTAATCTTAGTAAATTTTAACAAACATTATATTTTAAGTTATGAATCAATAAAAATTACGACTATATGCATGGAAACGAAACATGAAATATGAGAATAATTATTTTGAAAAGATGTTAGGCAATTCTATTTTACTTTACGTGATTTCACTTTTGCAAGGTAAACAGCACGTTCTACATTAGCTTAAAACTTTTTTCACTTCCTTACTAAATCTCTTTTGCTTATCTTTCATATTTTCGAGATTCTAAGGGATGGAAACTCAATGAAAATCAGAAAAAACTCAATATCCGAAAATGAATTGGATCACTAAGAAAATGTCAATAACATAAAACAGCCTCAAGCACCAACAAAAATTCCAACAAGATTTTTCAGCAGCAACAAAATATTTTTGCCCAGCAATTTCTAGTTATTGTCGGCAATACTTTATTCAACAATTTGGTACACTCTTGTCAGAAGTAAGAATTCCCATCCTTTTTCTTTATGAAATAAGGCAAACTTGCTGAGCACAGACAGAAATAAGAATTTCCCTTTCAAAAATGAAATTATGATAAGACACAAATGTCGAAGAAAAAGGAGCAAACAGAACTGAACAGAACAGTCTTTATCAGCGTTCGATGATTAAAAGCTTTCGCATTTCGTGTACGTTATTAAACGTCATGCATGCGATATTAAAAGGCAACAACGAAAATCACTTAAATTATTTGCCTTAAAGTAATATTTACATTGACTGATATGGCATGCTTGTTGTGTGTGCGAATTAAATTCATCATCTTAATGTATTATTATCTGATTCTTATTTTGATTCGCATGCCTGCCTGTTTTAAAAAAATGCATTTAAGATGATTTGTAGGAGGTTTAAAAGCGAGCAGGAATTTTTACTTATCAGAAGTCGGTCAATTGTTATCAGTTTTGAAACAAGCTTCAACATAACACAGAATAGTCTGAGAGAAAATTTAGACACTTTTTAGTGATACCCTAGGTCCACCTTAGTGCTCTGCAAGAAACCAACTACTGCAATCCATTCATGAAGCCTTCATACTGATCTTATTATGTTGTTATAATTAATATAATCTCTGAGGTGTCTGACTGCTTGCTTGCAAACAGTTCGTTCCAATAGTAGCTGACTTCATTTTTGCTGTCAGATCAATTTTCAATTTACTTAATATGACCTTAATGCCCTGCAAATTGTCAATAATAGCCTTTATCGGAATGGCTGTAGTAGTTGAAGAGAAGTGATAAACCGCAATTATAAATAGTAGTTCCACTTATAATATATGCTAGTGCTGGGTGATGAAACTTGAGATGGAATTCAAGGCATTAAATTTTAACACTTGACTTTTACGTGCTTCTTCCATATCACCGAACTTTTTTTCCTTGCCTTATTTTTATTGATGGCAATGAGTTGCAAAAAAAGCATACATTTAATTGTAGAAATGGACATAGCTTCATAAGATTTTCTTTTCTTACAGCAAGACAGAGGAACAAGAAGACATGAAAAATTAAGTCTTGGCAATAATTTTTATGGTGTTTCCAACTGAGATGTTATTTGATTCAAGAAGAGCTATTTAAGCATCGTTATTGTTGTAAATTCATCATCAGTAATATCGAGATGAAATTTTTTTTTGGATCTTATTACAATAAAATATCGATAGCACCAAACAATATTGTTTAATTTCCATAATATTTATATCTATTGCATGGTATTTTAAGTTTGGTTAAGAGACAATATTGTGCTTAGTATAAAGCATTTTTAGTTTATTATTTCACTAATTTACATAAATAAGTATGACTTGAGTCAATCAAAAATCAACTCAAAATAGTTCTCATTTTTGAAGCTTCATAAAAATACTTTCATATGTCCAAATGAGTTACAATGTATCAAAAATGTAGACATACATTCTATAACAACCATTTTAATCTCGTAAATTAATAAAAAAATTCATGAAGACTCACGTAGTTTAATTATACTTTATATGCGTAAACTACAGGAGTCAGACCTGACTTTCGACTGGTCATTAATTAATTACACATGACTTCAGCAACATAATTTAATTGTTTGAAAAGTTATTCTTTACATTCTATGCTTTCATTAATGACTGATAATCGACCGTATGCAGTACAATTTATGTAGCAAACATCCCAAAACCATAATAAAATATTCAATGTGTGAGAATTTTGATTAATTTTCATCCTCTTTCATCGACATGGCAATTTTAGTTCATTGTATATAGTCATAAATAAAAAATCACATGAGAAATTGCTTCATTATCAATTACAAGCTGATTGTAAAACATGTTTCATATTCAACCGATCTTGATTAATGCTATCCAGAACGTACGACAAACACACAAGTTCTTGCACAGCTTCAATATTATTTTTGCTTTCTTTACGCATTCGTAATTTTTTTAGTTGATTATCATAAAGGTGTAGAAAGAGCAAATAAAAAGGAATAAAAACGAAATTAGCACGCTTTTATACTGCAATTACCTTTCATGTACTTATTTATATTAAAAAGATTTACACTGAAACAATCAGATTATTATTTTCTTTATGTTTTAAAAGAAGCAGCGTTAGATCCAAATACTTCAAAGAATTCAAGAGTCAAATCACTTAGAATTTTAAGTCGTTAAGTGTCTTCTTATTTTTCTGCTTAAAAAAGCAAATAACCTAAGGGGCCATTCACTTATTACGTAACGCTTTTAGGGGGGGAGGGGGGTCTAAGATTTTGTTACGGTTCAAACAAGGAAATTTTTTTTTCATACAAATTTTGTTACGAGGGGGGGGGGTCTAAAAAGTCATTTTTTCGCGTTACGTAACAGTCCCTAAGAAAATTCTGTAGCCACATCATAACAGCATGAACGAAGGAGCAAGAAGTTATGAATATGATGAAAAAGAAAAATTATAGCCTCAGTTATTATTTTAACTTCATGCTTTCAAGTTTAAATGGTTGAAGTTAACTTCGATCGTACATCATAAGGAGTCATAAATTATTCAATAAAAAAAGCCTCAATACCCTACATGAATGTTTATATCAATTTAATCACACGAAATGGTTATTAAAAAGAAATAGGCAATAAGCATTAAAGCAAGTGAAGCACTTTGTAAGGGAAATTTTAAAGGGGTGTATGTCATGATCACGATGATATCGATTATTGTAATGATTGCGTGTTTAAATTGCACTTAATCATAGGTTATTTAAAGAAACACTCTTTATTGCTTGTCCTGCCCACTGAATGTTGATTGTAATGACTGGCTTTTAATTTTCACTCATTAATTTCTTTAAATCTTGCTCAATTTCTCATTTATCAAACATATCCGTCCAACATAACACGTTGTGTATGGTCGAGTATATGAATGATTCCGATCTGTGCATTTAAACTGCTTTTAAATACCTAAAATCGCTTATTAAATTTATTTCGATCCAAAATAGCAGGAGAACCAATTGCTACTCGGGACATCAAGAAAAAATAATTTATTAAAATATTTTAATAAAAAATCACAATAAAGCAACAATAACAAAAATAACCGGCTTATAGTGGAGTAATTTTTAAATTAAGTTCACATACCAACTTCTCACGACCTGTCGAAAATTAGACCGGAATGATGATTTTTTTTTTGATTTTGAAAGTCCGATATTGAGTTAATGAAGTAATCATGCATACATGTTATTCGCACTTTATTATTCGTCATTATGTCTAAACTAATTGATCTAATTTTAGCTAATTGAACCGCGCTGAAAGATGAAAGGAAGAGAAATAAAAGTCGATAAAAATACGAGAATGAGAAATTCTCAATAAAAAAATTATCATCGTCATTGTGAGCGATATATTTAGCATATGAAAGACTCAAATCAATCATTTAGTTCCAAAGGAAGGATTGCAATAAAAGATATAAACTCATGTCTACCGCAAAGTGCAAGTCATTGCTACAAAAAATTCCTTTAAATCGAAATTGGAATGTGCGAGAATGGTAATGAACTTTAGTCACGAGATGTCTTGATACTCACTTATAAAGGAGCTATAAAATCTCCACTAATCATATTTTGAAATGAAAATTAAATATTAACTGCCTTTGATTCCATTAAGCTTTAGTTTTTAATAAAATGTTAATAAGCTAATTTTAGCTGCTGTATGTCAGAATAGACACGAATATGTAGTTCAGTACATTGCTGTAAACAGACACTTTTATTGCCTTTCCTTGTAAATTGAAACATTTGCAAGGTTTTGAGTCAGCATACATATACATTTGGAGTCTACCAAAATACTTCTAAAACCATACAAACTCGAACCACTTAAAATTATAAATTAGCGATGACAATTCGTATGGATGTTCATTTTCATTTTTATTTGAAATTTACAATATTTTTTTCCTGAAAATGCTTTGTTTATTGGATCAGCCTTTACAGCTTATACTTCAAAACAGTTTCTATTCAAAATTGTTTAGTGAATGTTCACACTTTATCATGCGTTTTGTCTGTATGGAAAAAAGAACCTAATGATGATTCACTCTCGGGTTACACATGTTAATACATTTAGATTGTTTAAGTAGATACAATGTTCGTGTCGAAAATTAACTTTAATAATAGTTTTCTAGTGGTCTGACTGAATATATTCCATTCTGAACTTTTATGAATTCATGTATACTTTTTTAGGTCTTTTTTCATATCAAGCTTTTGCACTCACTCTTTTCCTACAAATATTTTTATAAAATCCTGTCATTATTTGTTATAATAAGATTAACGAAGAATTAATTAAACATAAATCATTTAGATGCTAAGTACGTGTCAAATTGATGGAGGAAAATTATTTTCTCAGTAAATAATAAAACAAACGCATTGTTAATTTTTTTAAGAAACTTTAGGTTTTCGTTTAACGCGAGCATAAGGACCCATTGCAGGATCAAATATGAAGTCATAAATAACTTTAGTCCATGAATGATGTTGAGGTAAATTATCGTAGAATTCAGCGGCAATTTTCTTGACAAGTGGCAATCGAAATCCAGGAATTGATGGAAAATCGTGGTGCTCATTATGATATCCAACATTATATGTAATCCAATTCAGAGGTCCATAATATGAAGCAGTTGAAGTTCCTTTATGAAACATGTAATGTTCACTTATGAAATGACCAGCGAGAGGATGTAATCCCATAGTCAAAAGTGTTCCAATGATAAGATAAGCCAACATTTTCCATCCAAAAATGTAAATTATAATCACATCAAAAATTATTTGAATTATTGCATTAACAATTTCTAGCTTAACTATTGGTTGAGGTTTTATAAACAATGGACGTAAACAAAAAAAGAATGGCTGCAACAAAATCCAACAGAATTTTCCAAATGTTGTACAGAAGAGATGAGCTTCAAAATCTGTAGGTACGTCTGCATCTAAACCTTCAAATCCTTGATATCTATGATGATCTGTGTGATACTTTTTAAAGGATATTGATATTGGTAAGCCAATAGGAAGGTTCACAAAGATCCCAAAGAATCGATTAGCCAAATATCTATGTGAAATTTCAGGAATCACCAAACAGAACGATATAGAAAGCACTTAATACTTACCTAGAGTTACCGAAAATTACATTATGGGAGATGTCATGTAAAGCTAAAGCTAAACAATGATTTATGACTCCACCAAAGCAGTATCCTACTATTATTAGCACAGGCCATGATTTATCTTGAAGGAAGTAAAGTGATGCTATTTGAGTAAATACCATAGCCGTACATATCCACTTGAAATTTGGATCATGGCCGAACAACTGTTTGATTTCTGGATATTTCTTCAAAATCGCAGCTCTTCTAGAGTTATGGGGTTGATCGTCGGTCGTCCACTCAAAATCTGTTCTCGAGACATGCTGTCCCATCATTCACTAGTTAACTAAACTTAACTACTGGATGTATATACAAAAAATAAAATAAACTGAATAAATGTATTGATCAACAGCTTAAGTTTGTAAACTTAAATGTGAACATCCAAAAAACAAATTATTGAAGAATTCATTTTTTTTTACTTCTCTGAAAATTGTCACAGATGTTTTTTTAACAGAATAATTTTGAGAGGGAATGACATTAAGTTGTCAAGGATGATAACCAAGTATTTATCTATTAACGCTAAGTTAACAATAAGGTAAATTTGAAATTTTCATCAGTTTAGTCAAAATATTTTTTATTTCACATTTTTATGACACAAATTTTCATTTTTGTTCCTGTTCAATCAATCAAATACACTTCGGATACATCTAAAAGGCATGCAATTAATAACGTGCAAAGTCAAATTTCCACTGTTCATTTGCTTAATTGATTAGGTATATTTTAATACATACATTTTAAGGATTGTTGCCATTCATACAGCTCACACGCATTTTAAACGGATGCTGCACATTAAGTCTTGTGACAATGATTGTAAAAATCATGTAATTTGGATTTATAAAGGTGGAATTTTTTTTTGGATATTTTGGTTCGATTCCTGTCAGAAGTTAATTAAACAAACAATGCTCCGTAAAATACGAAATTATCAAGGTCAATGAACTTATAATGACCTTGATCTTGACAAAATATTCTTATGCCAATAAAATTTCCACCATAATTCATGTTTGATTAAGCTAGTCACACAACTTTTGTACAGTCCTAGATTATGTATTTCTCTCAATGATGCGAACAAAATAGTTTTATATAAAATATTTTTCTGTATATAGAAGGTAGTAGGTCAATTCTTGTACTTAATTGTTTTTAATGAAACAAATTATAAAATTCTTAGGTATTTCTTTCTGATGAATAGATGGGGATGTAAATGATTAACGGTAACGACATTGAGTAGTGCAATATGATTTATAGGATTTCAGTTGTTAAATATTAGTCTTCGTAGCAAAGTGTTCAGAATATTTTAAATATTCAAAGCAATTTTTATACTTTCGTTTAACAATTTTAAACCTATAAAAAAGCTATTTAATATTATATTCGACCAATTTTAGGATTGTCACTTAGATTAACTTTGTATAAGATGCTTTGTCTGCACAAACACCACTCTTAAATTCATAAAACACTGTGATTTAATGTGAAACGAAAACATTCGGTATAAAAGAAGCTTGCCGTACATTTATAAACAGTATCAACAAATATTATTTACAGTTTAAGGTTTTATGACTCTGGATTGAATTAAGACATGAGATTAAACTAATTTAGATAAGATTCAGTAAAATATATTAAATTCAATTAAATATTTGATCGTAAGAAAATTAAGTTCTTTATCAAAAAATGATTCTTAAGAATCAATGAGCGTTATCAATTCTTCTATTTGATTAGATAAGATTCAAGTCTTTGAGGATACACATATAGTGTATAAAATAGTTTTATATGTGTATTAGTAAAGTTGAATGAAGTCAAGATTCTTATGAATCTAAACCTTTAGTCTTACGTTTTACGCGAGCATAAGGACCGATTTCTGGATCCGTAATGAAATCATAAATTACTTTAATCCATGAATGATGTTGAGGTAAATCATCGTAGAATTCGGGAGCTATTTTCTTGACAAGCGGCAATCGAGACCCAGGAACAGATGGAAAATCGTGGTGTTCATTATGATATCCAACATTAAATGTAATCCAGTTTAATGGTCCATAATATGAGTAAGTTTCATATCCTTTTTTGAACATATAATGCTCACTGATAAAATGACCTGTGAATGTGTTAAACAAAGATGTGTTATTCGCATGTGAATTAGCAGTTATATAAGTTTAATTACCGGCAACAGGATGTAATCCCATAGCTAATAATGTTCCAATAATAAGATAAGCTAACATTTTCCAACCAAATGTATAAATAATAATTGCATCAAAGATAATCTGAATGATTGCATTCACAACTTCTAGCTTAACTGGAGCTTTGGGATTAACAATCAATGGTCGAAATAGATAGAACATAGGCTGTAGCACAACCCAACAGAATTTTCCTAATGTTGTACAAAAAAGTTTTGCCTCAAATAATGTTGGTAAGTCGGTATCAATAACTTCATCGCCTTGATATCGATGATGCTCTAAATGATACTTTTTAAATGATATTGACATCGGAACGCCGAGCGGTAGATTTACAAAGAATCCAAACATGCGATTTGCCATAGGTCTGTTTAAATCGAAATCGTATATGAATTACATAAGCCATAGTCATGGAAAAGTCCAGAAAATTTACCGTGAATTTCCAAAACTTGCATTATGTGAGATTTCATGCACAGCTAAACTTAGGGAATGATTTATAACTCCTCCAAAGAAATAAGCAGTAGCTATTAACACAGGCCACGACTTGTCTTGCAGGAAATATAATGATGCTATTTGACCAAAGACCAAAGCCGTACATATCCACTTGAAATTTGGATCGTAGCCGAATAACTGTTTAATTTCTGGATACTTCTTCAAAATTTCAGTTCTTCTTGATTTATGCGGCTCATCGTCGTACGCCCACTCAAAATCCGTTCTCGAGACATGCTGTCCCATGATGCACTACTTTTAAACACAAATTAACTACTACTTTCACTATAAAAAATTAAATTTTAAATTAATATCAAAATTTTCCTTTCAGCTTATCACGAAAACGCCCAAATAATAAATGGTGCTGATCTAAATTATCCAAATTTGGTAATATCACCCAGCCAGTAAACCACGTAAACTTAATTATGAATGAAACCTTCAATGATTCATTGACATTTTCAACCAACTGTGGGTTTATTAATGGCTAGATTGATACGATAATTTAAGTAATAAAATAACTTAACATTAATTACGTTGATAGAAACTGTTAAATTTTGAAATTGCTGGGGATTCATTGGGCTTTATTAGGGAATATCATAATCAAAATAAAAAGTTTTTATTTAAAAAACTCACGTTTTGTGAATGAAATTATCCACTGGATCAAATAAAACTCTAAAAGATTACCATAATCTATGTTTGACTATACTTCTAGTTGCATGACATTTAGTAGTTTCATTGAAATTCAATAAAACTTAAAACACAACTCATAACATAAAAATAACGGTAGACAAAAATTTAAATGTCAAAATCTTAGTAGACAATAATTGGGTAAAACTGGGGAAAAATAATAATTCCAAATTTTCACAAAATAATCAATTTTCTTGAAATTAATAAAGAATTAAAAGAAAATTCTTGATTTTCGGGATAGAAAATGATGTGTTTAAGTGATGTAAAGTGAAGTTCATTGTGATGGAAGAGAATGAAAGCAAAAAATTGGAAAATAATGAAAGTCGAACGAATGACAACAAAAACAATGAAATTTGTGACTTAAATACAGCAGAAGATGGCCATGATAATGAAAATGTGATAAGTATGTTATCAACTATCCAATTAATGCATTAATTGCTAATTTAATCTATGCAATTAATTTTTTTAGCTGATAAAAATGATTGCGAAACTTTAGACGTAAGTAATGAAACAAATTCTAGTCATACGAAATCTGGCGACTGTAGTTCAACTGGATGTTGTTCAGGCGTCAGACGTAAAGCAATTTCAACAAATAATGTTGATAAGGAGCCACGAAATGGCACGAAAAAGAAAGTACGGCCTAATGGATGTTTTATCAAATCGCCAGTACAAGATTTGCAATTATGGAACATTGGAAAATGTTCGACAATGAAAGAGACTGATTTGGGTGAAGGAATAACAGCAATAGTAAATTATCATAGACCCTTGGAAAGGTCATATCCTACAAGTAATAGAAATTCAAAAAGTCAATCGGAACATTTCTCAGATGATTTTGGATTTGACATTATAGATATAGACGAATTAGGAATTTCTGATCCATTAAGTACAGGAATTGATTTAGTCGATATAGGATCATCATCATCATCGGATAGAAAGCATGATAGAAAGCCAACGATTGAGCAAATTATTGAAAATATTCATCCGCCATTAGCAACGCCTGAAAGCTTATCAGAAAATGCAAATACTCCAACTAAATTGCTTTTAAAACGCACACTAGCTAATTCTAATGAAAACTCAGTTGAAGGAACACCAAAATCATCCAAAATTCTTGGTGCCATTGATGAGAACGTATTCTTAAATAAAGAAGAGATTAACTTTGCTGATGATTTGTCAATTAATTTAAATGATTTACGTCCAAAATCAGCATTTTTAATAAAAGAAAGCTATGATGATGGTGCTGTTGGATCGAGCTCAATGTTTTTAGTCGAAATTCCACTCGTTAAGACGCACAAGCCACTTGCTCGTACTCTTTCCAATGGTAAATCAAGAATTCACCAAAAAAATGATTATCTAATGAATTCGAGTGCTGGTGAATTAACATTAGAAGCTAAATTAAATGTTAGAAGAAGTCCAACATCAGGAACAACAACACGCTCTGCATCACCATTAGAATGTCTCTCTTCACCCGATCGCAATTCTCCAATAATAAATAGTAGCAATAATAATAATCAAATGTCACGTTCCAGAGCTTTGTCTCGATGTCCTCCTACTCCCACACATCATAGGCGAATTAGGTCGTTATCTGATGGATTTAGTGGTGGTTCAATTGAAAGATCACGGAATTTATTTTCACCAGAAACTGTGGCAAATGTGCCTGACATTCGTCATGCTGATATTGTTAGCTTGTCAACACGTCAAGATCCATTAAGGACCACAGAAATAAGGAATGAAGAAGATGAAACTGATACTCCAGTACGTCATGTTTCAAGTACGAGATTGCCGTCGATTCCTGAACGAGCTTTAGTATCAAGAGGAATTGTTGAGAATGAACCACCTTTACCACATTGCTGGGAAGCTCGAATGGATAGTCATGGAAGAATTTTTTACATTGATCATCAAACGAGAACAACAAGTTGGCAACGTCCTACTAATGCAGGTGCATTGCCAAGTGGTGCTGATCAACATAGACAGCAATTAGATCGAAGATATCAGTCTATTAGACGTACAATTTATAGCCGCAATAGAAGTCCACCGAGAGAAGGATACACAACTGCTTCATATTCTAGGCAAATGCAAAATAATACGCAATTTGAGGGAATTTTCATAGAATCTCATCCAGCACTAATAATGATTTGTCGACCAGACTTTTATTCACTCTTACATACGAATCAAGAAGCAATTGATATATATAATAGCGTATCAGCATTGAAGCATATGATTTCACGCATTAGACGAGACCCATCATGCTTTCAACGATATCAGCACAACAAAGACCTAGTAACGCTAGTAAATTGCTTTGCAATAATTAATGCTGATTTACCGTCAGCATGGGAAACGAAATTAGATCAATCGGGAAAGCAATTTTTCATTGATCACGTTCATCGCAAAACGTCATTTATGGATCCCCGTTTGCCAATTGACTCGCCCCGAAGTCGACGACGAATGCAAGAAAATGTTCCTATTATTCCGCCAAGACCACCTCAACTACCGAGATTATCGGTCGGGTCACCAGAAGTGCCGATTGCATACAATGAAAAAGTTGTTGCCTTTTTGCGACAGCCAAATATTTTAGAGATTCTGAAAGAGAGACATGGCACAAATTGTTCACGTAGCTTACGTGAGAAAATCAATTCAATAAGAGTTGAAGGAAATACCGCACTTGAAAGACTTGGACATGATCTTCAATTGACGATTTTATTGAGGTGAGTAATTCTTTTAATTAAATATCTTCTTATGTTGCGGTCAGTGCCTTCTTAATAATTATTATTTCTGTTATTAAATTCGCTAATTAATATTTGATGGTAATTAAGACAATAATAATTAAGAGATCATAGTGTGGAGGTCATGAAAAATCAAACGATTATAACTTAACAAAGTTCATTTCCGTATTCGATGCTATAGATTTTACGATTCTTTGCGAAAATAACACAAAAATGAATTAAAAACTAGTAGCGAAGCTGATCACGCTTCATGGGAATATTCACACAATCCTATAGAACTCTCTATGTATTGTTCAGAAAATCTTGAAAAATCTTCTCTCAATAAAATGTAAGACTTAATATCAACATTTTGCTGAACTTGAAAATAAGATCCATTAAAAATTTAATCATTTCTGCAACAAATTATCATGATTCAGTAAATTTTTAAGCATGTCTGAAACTTGGAACCAAGATCCAGTAAAGTTTTAATCAAATCTGAAACAATAAACCTAGATACAGTTAAGTTTTAATCATGTCTGAAGACATAAACCAAGATCTAGTTAAGTTTTAATCATGTCTGCAACAAATTATTATAATTCAGCAGAGTTTGAAAATAAAATGAAAATTGCTCTATTTTGAAAATAAATCAAAATGAAAATTATGAAAATTGCCAATTTTGATCAAAGCAATTTTGCAATTTTGTCAATTTCAGAAAATTGCAATTTTGGAAATTGTTTATTTTCCAAAATTGCAATTTTCGAAATTATCAATTTTAATTTTGTGACGTCATAAATATTTGATGAATAATTTTGTATGAAAATTTTCTTCTTTTTAAATGAATTTTTTCTTCAGAAAAACAAAAGACACAGTTTATTTCCTGGATGTTGATATTCGTTTTTATTAAAAAATTCATTTAAAAAGAAGAAAATTTTCACACAAAATTATTCATCAAATATTTATGACGTCACAAAATTAAAATTGATAATTTCGAAAATTGCAATTTTGGAAAATAAACAATTTCCAAAATTGCAATTTTCTGAAATTGACAAAATTGCAAAATTGCTTTGATCAAAATTGGCAATTTTCATAATTTTCATTTTGATTTATTTTCAAAATAGAGCAATTTTCATTTTATTTTCAAACTCTGTAATTCAGTAAAGTTTTAAGCGTGTCTGAAACTTGGAACCAAGATCCAGTAAAGTTTTAATCATGTCTGCAACAAATTATCATTTTGATTATTTTTGAAACTTGGAGCCAAGATCCAGTAAAGTTTAAATCATGTCTGAAACCTAAAACCAAGATTCAGTAAAGTTTTAGTCATGTCTGCAACAAATTATTATAATTCAGTAAAGTTTTAAGCATGTCTGAAACTTGGAACCAAGGTCCAGTAAAGTTTTAATCATGTCTGCAACAATAAACCAAGATCCAGTAAAGTTTTTATCATGTCTGAAATTTGGAATCAAGATCAAGTAAAGTTTTAATCATGTCTGAAACTTAAAACCAAGATCCAGTGAAATTTTAATCATGTCTGAAGCTTGAAAACAAGATCCAGTAAAGGTTTAATCATGTCTGAAACAATAAACCTAGATCCAGTAAAGTTTTAATCATGTCTGAAGCTTGAAAACAAGATCTAGTAAAGTTTTAATCATATCTGAAACAATAAACCAAGATCCAGTTAAGTTTTAATCATGTCTTTAACAAATTATTATAATTCAGTAAAGTTTTAAGCATGTCTGAAACTTGTAACTAAGATCCAGTTTAGTTTTAATCATGTCTGCAACAATAAACCTAGATCCAGTTAAGTTTTAATCATGACTGAGGTTTAAAAACAAGATCCAGTAAAGGTTTGATCATGTCTGAAGCAATAAACCAAGATCCAGTTAAGTTTTAATCATGTCTGAAGCTTGAAAACAAGATCTAGCAAAGTTTTAATCATATCTGAAACAATAAACCAAGATCCAGTTAAGTTTTAATCATGTCTTCAACAAATTATTATAATTCAGTAAAGTTTAAAGCATGTCTGAAACTTGGAACCAAGATCCAGTTTAGTTTTAATCATGTCTGCAACAATAAACCTAGATCCAGTTAAGTTTTAATCATGTCTGAAGCTTGATAACAAGATCCAGTAAAGGTTTAATCATGTCTGAAGCAATAAACCAAGATCTAGTTAAGTTTTAATCATGTCTTCAACAAATTATTATAATTCAGTAAAGTTTTAAGCATGTCTGAAACTTGGAACCAAGATCCAGTTTAGTTTTAATCATGTCTGAAGCTTGAAAACAAGATCCAGTAAAGGTTTAATCATGTCTGAAGCAATAAACCAAGATCTAGTTAAGTTTTAATCATGTCTGCAACAAATTATTATAGTTCAGTAAAGTTTTAAGCATGTCTGAAACTTGGAACCAAGATCCAGTTAAGTTTTAATCATGTCTGAAGCTTGAAAACAAGATCCAGTAAAGGTTTAATCATGTCTGAAGCAATAAACCAAGATCTAGTTAAGTTTTAATCATGTCTTCAACAAATTATTATAATTCAGTAAAGTTTTAAGCATGTCTGAAACTTGGAACCAAGATCCAGTTTAGTTTTAATCATGTCTGCAATAAATTTTCATGATCTAGCAAAGTTTTAAGCATGTCTAATACTTGGAACCAAGATCCAGTAAAGTTTAAATCATGTCTAAACTTAAAACCAAGATCCAGTGAAGTTTTAATCATGTCTGAAGCTTAAAAACAAGATCCAGTAAAGGTTTAATCATGTCTGAAACAATAAACCTAGATCCAGTAAAGCTTTAATCATGTCTGAAGCTTGAAAACAATATCTAGTAAAGTTTTAATCATATCTGAAACAATAAACCAAGATCCAGTTAAGTTTTAATCATGTCTGCAACAAATTTTCATGATCCAGCAAAGTTTTAAGCATGTCTGAAGCTTGAAAACAAGATCCAGTTAAGTTTTAAACATGTCTTCAACAAATTATTATAATGGAACCAAGATCCAGTTTAGTTTTAATCATGTCTGCAACAAATTTTCATGATCCAACAAAGTTTAAGCATGTCTAAAACTTGGAACCAAAATCCAGTAAAGTTTAAATCATGTCTGAAACTCAAAACCATGATCCAGTAAAATTTGAGAAAAAGTTCTAAGTGGGCTTTGACAATTTCAATTTAAATTTTTTTTATAATGAAGAAATAAGAAAAAGTTCTTTGTGAACTTTGACAATTTGTTGAAATTGAGAGATCATTGTGAAAAATTGTTTATATAATTTAATTTGTCATTAAAAATTAAATCCAGTCCACAAAAATTAAAATTGAGATTTTGCTATCGTTGGAACCAAGATCCAATAAGTATATAACAAGAAAAAAATCAATGCTGGAACCAAAAACATATTTCCATTATGATACAAGTAAAGTATGTATTCAATAACATAGATCCAGTAAGCTGAATCTTGTAAAGGAACTCGCTAGTTCCAACATTTTTTCACATACATTTAACTTGATGCATACTGTCACAACCATTTTATTAATATCAAACCACTACCAATAAATATTTCCGTTGTAAACAAAAAATAAATATGTTATGTAATAATAGTTTAAACGTTTCCCATGCAAAAATGTTTATGCATCTTGTGCCTTACTGGAAGCATCATATGACTCCAAAAACAATACAGTTCATGCGATAGCCATTATCTATCAGAAGCAAAAAACCGGAAGTCTTAATATTGAGTTTGAATCGAGTTATCGCACCGATTAACTAACAGAATGCCTTTTTTTGCAATTTCTCGGAACTGGAACTGCCAAATAAAAAATCGTTTTCACCATTAGATAGGTATTTCGAGGCACAAACTTTTACATATCAGGTATATGGGTTGATTCCGTAAGCCTGAAGCAGAAAGTTAAAAAAACTGATTTTCCGAAAAACCAAAAACAATATATTCACAAAAATTGAAAATTTTGTGTGAATATGATAAAAGGCCACAGAATTGGATTAAAATCTATAAATTGACACGTTTTAACAATTATTTGTTCTGCAAAATTACTGACAAAATCGAGCAAAAAATGCTGCATTTTTTCTACCGTTTACATATAAAATCACAAAATAAATCGCCGGATGTTATAAACTCATAAATACTTTAAAGATGCTTATCGTAAACTAAGAAAATGACCTTAATTACATTAAGTTGAGTGTATTTGAAACGTCAATTGCTGGAAAATTGAAATTAATTTTGCGTAAACAACTCAATATTATCATCGTTCATGTTAAGGACTCACATCTCATCTACTACTTAATGACATTTTAATGTGAATGAATGTTGACAATTTCTGAGGTTTTTCTTGCGATTAGAAAGACTATGAATTGCCACAAATGATGAAAAAATGAATAGGGTTTGTGGAAAACAGCTGTTTTTGAAAAACAGTCTGTTTTCGGTTTTTGATTTTTAAAAACAGCTGTTTTCCTGTTTTTCTAGAATTCAAAATAAACTGAGTTATCCTGTGTGTTTCTCTAAGATAATGAAACTTTTTGGTGGTTATAAGCAGTTAAGCATACATTATAGAGCTAAGCATTATTATTTCTTAATTTTTCGTTAATTAACTCTATAAAATATAATGGAATATAAAAATTCAAAAAAAAAATATTTATACTTTTAAGAAACATTGCATTGTTGCATTGCAAAAGTTCCATAAACTCTAATATTTTATTTGAAATATTCAAAAAAACTTTCTGAATAAAAAAATATCTTGTAAAATTGTTGATTATATTTTTAAACTTTAGTAAATACTACAAAAGGTGCAACAAATTTAAAATTTGGATTGCAAAATTAGTAATGATTAATCATAAATTTGATAATGATTTCAAACCTATTAAACATCCAAAAAAATTTAAAATAGTAAAAACATTTCTATTTGGAATTCTAGAAAACTACATTAAGTTCTTCAAAAAATTAAGAAAATTTTTTTTCTGAAAATTATATGTAAAAATTAAAAACAGAAAACAGATCTGTTTTTC